TGAGGCATGGAGCAGTGGGGAAGATCAAAGGGAGTTTGTCCCTGATGTCCGGCAATGGCGCAGTGGGGAAGATCAAAGGGAGTTTTTCCCTGACGTCAGGCAATGGAGCAGTGGAGAAGATCAAAGGGAGTTTGTCCCTGACGCCAGGCAACAGAGGGCAGAAAAACGGAGGCAGACTAGACAAGGAGTTCTCCAGATTAGTACGAATAGTTGTGTCCTGCAAAAGGACTCCTCCCAAAGTCTCTTCATATATACTCTCTTGGGAGGGGTCAAGCCACAACCACCTGGGCTTGATTATCTCTTTTGAGTGTCTCCGTAACTGCTGCCTCCGTTTTTCTGCCCTCTGTTGCCTGGCGTCAGGGACAAACTCCCTTTGATCTTCCCCACTGCTCCATTGCCTGACGTCAGGGACAAACTCCCTTTGATTTTCCCCACTGCTCCATGCCTCAGGCGCTTTCTGGTAGCCAACCAGCCTCTCTGGTCCCTGCTTTAAAGTCTGAACCCTGCCCAGGCTCCGCCACATCTTCCACAGCAGACTCATAGGGTTCCGCACTATCGGAGTCCATCGGCAGCTCCAACAGCTCCTGCTGGGCCAAACACCCACCCTAGCTTAATTTTTACCTGTGTACCCTGGAGTGGGCAGGCCTTAATTAGGGCTTATTTTGGGAGGGTAGGACTTATACTGGGAGCACATGTAAAACTTAAGCTAGGGCTTACTTTCAGGGTAGGTCGTATTTTCAGGGAAACACGGTAGGAGATGAAAAGGAGCTCACGTTCATACGTATTTTTATTAGAGGGGTAGAGTGAGGCACTCAATAACTCATTAATAGCCTGGTACTGACATCACTCCTCACAGGTTGGGCAGATGGAGTTTGTTCTAACCTGCTGTCAGATTTCAGCAAGCATATAGATGTCTAAGTCAGAGTAAGAAGTACAATACCTGTAGTAGATGGAGAACTAATGGTGAGAAAAAGCCCACTGAAGCCTTGCTTCATTTCAGTTCCGAAATCAGAACATCTGGAAGTGTCATAAGGTTAGGCAAAAAGAACAAATACTAGAAAATTCACTGATGGGGGGAAAAACCTGATACAGTCTCTTCTGCTTTAGGAAGTACTTATATGCAGTTCCCCAGGCTGAAAGGTAGTAGGGTAATCAAAGTAATAATTTCTTACTGAAGAGGTAAGGTAAAGGTAAAGATTCCCCTCATACATATGTACTAGTCGTTCCTGACACTAGGGGGCGATGCTCATCTCTGTTTCAAAGCCGAAGAGGCAGCGCTGTCCAAAGACGTCTCCAGGGTCATGTGGCCGGCATGACTAAAGGCGCACGGAACGCTGTTACCTTCCCACCAAAGGTGGTCCCTATTTTTCTACTTGTATTTTTAATGTGCTTTCGAACTGCTAGGTTGGCAGAAGCTGGGACAAGTAACAGGAGCTCACTCCGTTACGCGGCGCTAGGGAGTCAAATAGCTGAACTGCCGACCTTCTGATCGACAAGCTCAGCATCTTATCCACCGAGCCACCGGGTCCCATGCTGAAGAGGTACAATGATTTAATTCTTGCAGATTTCTCTTCCCTTTTATTCTCATACTCAGGAGTCTGGCACCTAATGTGCTTTATAAAAAGGCATAAACGTGAGCTACAGTTGATCATGAGATATTTCGGATGAATGAGCTACAAGCTCACACACACAAAAATATGCCTTTCAGTAAAATTTATTACTTGGAAAAGGTGCTAACAAGCATCTGAGTTTTGGCTAAATGTGGGGGATCAGCTGCAGTTGGAAAGCTATTTGTGATCCCACTACGAAACATTTTGCGTGTGGTTTCTAGCATTCTCTTCTGCTGCCATCAATTTCTAACGGCTTTTAAAATGAAACCCAGTGATTTCAAGGCCAAATGTGCTGTGAGGAATAAAAAAATTAAATGGCTGAGCCATGTGACTTTGGCAGGACTATTGTCCTCTTTAGGAGAATAGAAAAGAATAATATAGAATAGAATAGAATAAGAATAACAGAATTGGAAGGGACCTTGGAGGTCTTTTAGTCCAACCTGCTGCTTAGGCAGGAAACCCTATACCACTTCAGACAAATGGATATCCAACAACATCTTTAAAATGTCCAGTGTTGGAGCATTCACAACTTCTGGAAGCAAGTGGGTCCATTGATTAATTGCTCTAACTGTCAGGAAATTTCTCCTTAGTTCTAAGTTGCTTCTCTCCTTGATTAGTTTCCACCCATTGCTTCTTGTTCTACTCTCAGGTGCTTTGGAAAATAGTTTGACTCCCTCTTCTTTGNGGTAGATTTGACGAACCGGTTCTACCGAACTGGTGCGAACTGGTAGGAACCCACCTCTGTTCAACACACTCCAAAGTGAGAGCTCACCATCACACAGCTCCTAGGCACCAGCAGACTGTCACCTGGGTAACTTAAAAGTGGCATTTATTCAGTTTTCAATAAGAGCATGACTACTTAATAACTTCTGATGAAAGACGAATGCTAGGAAATAAAAACGGGGGATGTTGGTGGGAGGAGAAATCATCCAACCTATCACTTCCCTGAGCTTCTCCTGCATTGAATCTGTCAGAACGGCACCACTCTCAGCCTTGTCACTAAAGCAGAAGAAGGACCAGCTGTCAGAAAATACAGATCAAATCAAATCAGAATACTCATATGACACTTCCACAGACTGGAGTACAGTAAATTATCTGTAGCTGACCATCCCTCTTATCGATCTGGTTCTTAATCCCTAGTCTCATTTTCTTCGTCAAACTGTTCTCAAATCCATAACTTCCCACTTGCATTTCTGTGGCCCCTGGAGTCCAAGAGACCATACTGTAAAAAATTTTACAGCAAATTATTGATGCTGAAATTTCTCAATTTTCAATAGACGGACAGGCAGATAGA